TATATATATGATGTTTTTGATGTTTAGGAACCTGTAATTAATCCTAAAGCTTTGAATAAAGTCTGCATGGAGGCAAGTCAAGTAAAAAAATGTGATATGTCCTCAACTTTTAAAGGAGAGTTTTCATTAAGGGATATTTTAGCTGGTATAGAAAGGCAAGAGTTTTTTACATACCAAGGTCTGTATGCTTTCAACGCCAAAAAGTATGCATTAATTGTGTTTTCCTATAGGCTCGCTTACTACACCACCATGTTCTGAAGTTGTCAACTGGTTTGTTTTCCCTAAACCTATTGAAATTTCCAAGCGATATGTAAGCGAAAAAAATAAATTCAATTACATCAGTATTTAGTTACCACACTACAGCTGAAACACCTGTGGAACCTGTCAGATGATCGCGGCAGACCTCTGCTTAATAATTTTCGAGAGTTACAGGACCTACACGAGCGTAACGTATATTATAGAAACCAAATGTGGCCAAAGAATACTTACGTTTGAATACTGTAATGATTCGTTAAATTCAAATCATTGATTGCGCAGACAAATATCGACAAGGTATCGGAAATGCATTGAGCTGGGATGACAGTCAAGCTTTTGTGATAAACAACTGCTGAACTATCGATAGCCAAATTACAAAACAATAATAGCGGCACAGATGTAAGTCTAAGCTTATGCATACATATACATTTATTATATTATTAGCAAATATAACATAATATATGTATGTAAGTCTATTGCATAAATGTATATCATCTAGCTTCAAATAAAATGTCCAGCTATTTTGCGTAATAATGTCGTGTCACTCAACTATAAAATCGCAATCATGAAAATGGCAGAACTTAATAAAGTCAGTCCGGAATTTGTTAAATAGAAAACTAAAGACAATTACAAACAAAAATGAAACGTGAGGCTCCGGAGGCACGTGATAAGTTGCCTATAGTATACTCCAAAAAATATGCTGTGCGCTTTGGTGGACTTGAAAAGTTACATCCTTTTGATGCAGCTAAGGGAAAGCATATACAACAGGTAAGCTCATATTTATGTATGTATACATGTATGTAGTTGTATATGTGTGCATAATTTAAAAAGCTCTTAAGTACATTTTATTTTCAGTTGCTCTGTGCGGAACTGTCGTTGGAATGCGGCGATTTCTACAATCCCCTTGAGATTACCAAGGAGGAACTACTGCGAGTCCACACTCCAAAGTATTTGAGGTCCCTCAAATGGAGCGCCAAGGTGGCTACCATTGCGGAGGTTCCGGTTCTCATATTTGTGCCCAACGTGGGAGTGCAAAGTGGATATTTGCGTCCAATGCGCTACCAAACAGCTGGCTCCATCCTGGCTGGCAAACTGGCCTTGGAATATGGTTGGGCGATCAACTTAGGCGGGGGCTTCCATCATTGCTGCTCGTCCAAGGGTGGTGGCTTTTGTCCCTATGCAGACATTACTCTGTTGCTTGTCCGTTTGTTTGATTTGGAGCCGTTGAGAGTGCGAAATGCAATGATTGTTGACTTGGATGCGCACCAGGGCAATGGACATGAGCGGGACTTTAAGGACACTGAGACGGTATACATACTTGATATGTACAACGCCTATATCTATCCAAAGGATAACGAGGCCAAGCTGAGCATTCGTTGCGCTGTTGAATTAAAGCATCTAACCGAAGATGCCCACTACCTAAAGCAACTGAACCGGTGTTTGATGCGAGCACTTGCTGAATTTAAGCCAGATATTGTTGTTTATAATGCCGGCACCGATATTCTCAAAGGCGATCCGCTAGGCAATTTAGCGATTACTCCAGACGGAGTTATAGAGCGCGACCGCTTGGTTTTTAGTACATTTCGAGCACTGAATATACCCATTGTTATGTTGCTTAGCGGCGGATACATGAAATCATCCAAGAATGTTATAGCAGATTCGATAGTCAATTTGAAGAGACAGGGATGGCTAAAGTAATCAACACTATTTTATGTAAATTTATACAAATGTTGGACACTGTTAGAACGATCACCCACTGGGGATAAACAATGAGCTGTGAGAGACAAGATACTTTTACGAAAATGTCTATTACATTCATAGACTTAATATTTGATATACTTATATGATAAAAACTCAAGTATTCCATTTGAATTAGGTGCTGACTACTATAGTGGTCAGACCAATTAGCTCAATATAATTGTTTATTGCTATTTATTCTTATATAAAGCAAACGACGACACTTAATTGCTTATGTTATAAATACACACTAGTAGCTTATTACGTGTTTTGAAGTACAAAAATGTATATAAATAAATATGTTTTTCGAATACTTAAAGTAAGCAATTAGAATATCAATAGTCTATTAGTAAGAGGTTTTGTCTTGGGTATTACTTCATCGTTATAGTCTATTATTATGAAGTAATTGGTGTTTTTTTTTTTATATTTGTCTTTTATAAGTTAACAAGTGGAGCTTCCCGAATATCCTGCTCCTAACAAGCCGTTGGCATTGGCAGTCTAGAATTGCAATTCAAATAAGGTTATTTATACATTTCAATAGAGCCACTAATTAGATTGAATTGAGAATTGCATGCACAGATGAAAGTTCAGTTATGAAGGCGTTCATGTTGCTTTTGCTGCAGGGCCAACTTCAATAACATCAATCATCAATTAAATAATCTAAAAGTAACATAAAATAGTTGAAAAATTAAAAGAGTAATTAATTGAATTGATAAACAACATACAAAAAATAGTTTGCTAAATGAGATAGCCCCTAAGGCTACTGAGATGTGTCAGATGTGTAATGAGAGGCGTAACGAGATAACTATGCTGATAAACTTACGCCGCATTGCTAGCAGGCAAATCCTCAAAGAGCACTTCCCACCGCGAACTGATAATATATATCAAACAGAACGAAATTATAAACACCACAATGCCAATGCTTAAAATTGTGACTTCGTGCACATGGGACGGACGTAGGAAGATTCGGGCGCTGAATTGCGACCAAGTTGACTCAGTCCACGTTGAATATTGACCTGAACGCCAATCGTAGTCTGCAATTGAAAGGCATCGGTGTTAGAAACTGACAGTCTCTAAAAAAGCACACCCCTTACCTTCAATGAGAAATGCAGGACTTAATGCATGTGTATAGTTCTGCGTTGTACGACGACACTCTCCAGTGCCATTCAGACCAGCAAAATAGAACAGTGGCAGTTGAGTGCAATTCTCCTTTGGCACACTTGGCTCTTGGTGCGACAGCAGATAGCCGAATAGACGATACGTCCAACCCGATGATTCCTGAGAGCCACCCAGCACACTTATGTATCTGAATAAGTTTGTGTTTAGTATTGAACAATGTAGAGTGTAGGCATGAAAACTCACCGCATTGGCGGCAACGGCACACCTGCTGGACTGTTCGGGTATGAGGAAGCTTTGAAAAGTGGACAGTCCGAGGACATCAGAAAGCAGTAGAAGAATTCATCTGCCAACAGTGGATTGGCTACTTGATTTCCTTGGTACTGTTTACCCGTTAAAGTCTCGTAAAGTGCCATCGCCACAATGGAGGAGACGTTGCGCACCTTCATTTGCAAAGAACTCCAGCTAATGTTTTTGGCATCGTTCACATCAGCCAGCTTTGTGTAATCTTGACTGGTGTTAGCATAGACATAATCGACATTATCAATATCATCATAAATGGAGTGATAGTATCTATTGTTAGGCGCAGCGTTTAAAATCAAGGCCGGGAACTTTTGGTCGCGCCGCAAAAACGATTGCGCTGATGTGGGTGGTATGTTATAGCCCACGTTCGATTCGATGTTCACATTAAAACCATATCGGGATGATTTAGCATATTGGTTAAGCCGTTGCAGCAGTTGTTGAGCGGGCGGTGTCGAGGTAAGTGTGTGCAGCTTTATGTTGCCTATATCGTCGAGGGTGCCAATGTCTAGCATAAACTCGATGTTCTCAAACGAAATGGGCGTTGTGCGTGTGGAGCGGGAAGGAAAGGCCAAGTTTTCCATATCGTAAACAAGTCGCTGCGAGCCAATGTAGTCATAGGACTCGCCATTGAATGCCAGAAACAGCACATTACGTTTTGGATTAGGCTGCGAGTTCGCAGAAGGCAATAGTTTGTGAAGCATATGCGCCACCTGGGTGAGAATGGCCAGACTCTGCAGCGAATCCATGGCGCCCAACCCTGAAAGTGGGACTGTCAGTATCAAGAGCAGAGAACAAGGGACGCTTGCTGCACTTACCCAGTCCATCGAACATGCTTGTAGTGTCCAGGCGGCATGATACTACAATAAACTTTTCGGTAGCATCAACGTCGAAGCTTTCAGTTGGTGTGCGTGGGTACAATGTTGCATACACATTCCGGCCCTCCAAGGGATCGCAATATTTACTACCGCCAAGGTTGTTTATGAAATTTGTCCGCCGCATGCACACTTCAGAGTTCACAGCTGCTGACATAAAGGACTTGATTTCCACAGCGCATAAGCTACGTAATGAATGCGATTCGTAGTCAAAGTTGTTGAATTTGTTGAAGCACTCCTCCAGCTTGTCGATTTCCTCAGGATCGGCTATATAGTAAATGGGAAATGGAAAGTCCTCGTGCAGTAGACCAGTGCCCCAGCGATTCCAGGTATTCGCCACATTGCTTGCATCACAGGTGACTGTCGCTGTGCTGTTGCTTAATTTGAGTCCACTGTACTGATTGGGACAGTTGAGTTCATGCGAAAACTGCGTCATTCTTTTTGATCTGTTTATTAGCAGCACAACAGATATTGTTTTAGGGCCAGCATTCTTGAGGCGTAACAGGTTTGTCCTCGTAAACAAATGTGGTGGTATCAGTGGAGCATACGGCGGAGAGGGGGGACTATTGAGCAAAAATTCCAAATCTGCATCAGTGTTTATCAGGTGCAATACGCCAACGGATCCTGAAAATGTCGCTGCAATGGCAAAAATATAGATATGAGAGATTTTTCTTACACCCACCTTCCCCGACACAATACTTACATGAGCATCCTGTCTGATGGGTGCCGTTCAAGCGTCGGAAACAACTGGCGCCCAGAATCGGCTCATACATTTTCTCACGCGTCCGCTCGCCCAGAACTGTGATTAATACAAGAAAAAATAAGACAGCGGCTTAGGTGAGTCAGCACCCAGACTTTGTTTGTGCATGGGGTGTCTTAATTGCAGATTTCTTACCACCGGCAGTACTTTGAAGCCATAATAGCAGCCATATTGCAGCTGTTTTCATCTGCTCTGCCATTAATGGGACCTTTGCAACCTATGAGCCAATTAACCGGCGGTGTTATTGGTGATACACAAATGACAACAAGAAACCTAACATATGTATTTACATATATGCCAATGTCTGAAGTGATACGCGTTACTTATCCCAACTGTTGGTGTCCCGACATCAGAGTTGCACAGTAAATTAATGGCATTCCTTGACTAAATTTTTATATGACATGCAAATATCGATACACTGCAACTCGAAAAACATAGTCAAGTTTTAATCGATTCCTACTCTCATTTGATAAATTTTCTTTAATCGGAGTGGTGACAAGTTAAATTGCCCATTATCGTGATGGAAGCTATCGGTGACAAGTATTTTTTTAAATATCGAATCAAAAATTCTGAATATAGTACAAATTGACATTTTAATTGCTGTTCTACGATTATTCATAAGCCCAATGCCAGGTAAATAAGTTTATGAAATTATTTTTTATTCGTTGTTTTAAAAAGAACTGTTTAATTATAAATTTATAACTTATTTCCTTAATTGACAGTCGTTATTTCTTCTTAAAATTTTATATTTGCGAACAAAAGAATTTTATTTTGTAATCATTTTTTAAATTATACAGGATGCGATTTATAACGATTTCTTAGTAGACTTACTTTTCGCTTAACTATACAAGTTTATTATCTTACTAACATCATATTTTCATTAAAATTAAAAGAGTGTATCCTCAGCGCGTATATATTCGCCAATATCAGACTGATGAAAGCAAACAGTCGTCAGCGGATCGGCAGTTTTACATTCAGTAGTGGATCGGGCAAGAACACCAAATCCTAGAGCCAAGTCATTCATAGAAAACACAACCACACCCTGGTACTGTCCAGCGTTCTCCGTTATTCTGCCCAAGCCAGATTTTGGTATGTGATTGCCATAAAGAAACTGTTGCTCAAAAGAAGGTTTGACCCAAACCTTGTACTGTGCATAGGGGGCCAAATAATAAAGTGCCGTAATATGGAACTTTAGTTTATTTGTCTTCGAAAACTTTCCAAAGCAGGTGCCCACGCACACAAGTTGCTTGTAGCCGAAACACTCGCTTAGCTTTAATATGCGCTCAGAGACATAATAAACACGATCTTTGTGCTCGCGGAAGCAATAAGTTCCATCCGGCCTATCAATGAGTTGTTGAACGTTTGTTCCAATGCTGAAAATGAATGGAAATTTATAACCAACTATTGACTTGCATCTAACCTACTTACTATTTAGCAAGCTTCTCAAAGAGAATCTTTGTACGTTCATCCGTTAATCGCTTCATTTCGTTTTATTATGGGCAAAAGTAAATAACGCGGCACAATACAAGAAATGTGTTTTGACGAGAATGTGCTAAAAAATACTTAAGCACGTTTTATATTTTAGTGCTGTGTAAAGGCAAAATTTTACGCTTAGAGCACTGGTATCACTGATATATCGATAGCTATGTATATATCGACTATCGGCATATATTTTAACTCATGCAAAATTAAATATGTATATATGCATTCATATATGTACAGAAAAATGTAAAAATTTATTAAGAATATTAAAACATTTTTGCAGCTTTTTTTTTTTTTTTTTAATTATATTTAAATTAAATGAAATTTAATTTTGGCTCTCATATAGTGTTAGTCGAAGGAAACTCAGATTTCGGTATGTTAAATATAATTTATATTTTTTTTTATCTTTATTCTTAGTAATCTTTTAAATAATGAGAATAAATAATTTTATATTATAAATTACTATTATTTTAAATTTTAAAAACAAAACTAATCATGCTATATACTATTTAAATAAGCAAATGAGCTAACAATTTAGCTGAAATATTATGCAGGCTCTGATTTTTGTGAATAGTTTCGTTCCTTTAGTAAATTTTCAAGCTGATGCTCTTGATAGTAGACCACAAGCTGAGCTGCCGATACTTGCTTGAACAGCTCATAGATAGTTGGCTTCAGATTGTAGAAGAATAGTAACTGTTGTCGCTGCTGGAAATCGCTGATTAGGGAACCGACAACGGTGGCTGTGGTAAAGTCAGCTCCATAAACATGCGACGCATCGACGACGACAGGCACATTCTGGCGTATGGAGTGTTTATTAACCCAGTTTCTGACATATTCCACTGAAGGAAAGATTAGGCAACGATCGGGTGTAATCATCAAATATTCGATGCCTGATTGGGTTAACAAAAGCTCGAAGCTTAACTTCGGACGAGCCACATTGTACAATATAAAAATAACATTGATTCCGATTCCAATGAGAATTCCACACTCCAAAGGCAGCACCAGGCAAGCTACGAAGGTTCCTATGCCCGGCACCAGATCACTTTCTGTATGAGAAAATTATAGTAATAATAATACATGTTAAATTGAAATATAACAGAGGAGGGGATATACCCTTTATATATGTATATGTATAGATCAATCTTGTATTTAAGCTTTGTAAGCTAATCTTAAAAATGGAAGTAAAAGGATCGATGTTGATCGATAATGAGATTAAGGGGTTAGTTATCTAGAGAGATAGCTTTAATATCGTAAATAGTTCATCGACTTGATCAAGAATATATTTACATATATGTAAACTTTAAGGGGTCTGCAACGCCTCCTTATACATATGGCATTTATCTTAACAATACCATTTTAGCCTGAGTTCCCTTTCCAGGCCCTTGAAATGAATTATTGAAAATGAAAAGAACTATTTCTAAAAACTGGTGGAAAAATAATGAAATACCTTAATTACAATTTAATAAGATATACACAAATATTTTTACAGCACATCACTTGCAAAGTATAGCAATAAACTTTAAGTACTGCCTAGTTAATTATTATTAACGAACCACTTATTCCGCGAAAATTATACAACTTTAAGCGAGGCTTGCCTTTTACGACAAGTTTTCATAAGATTAATGGAAAGTTTTACTGCACAACAGCAAAAAAAGCTGTTGAGTTAACGCATGCCAATCTGAAAACACTTGAAATTATCTTTATCAGCAATCATTGATTAAGAGCTTTGAAGTTGAAGCACCCTAAACTCAGGTAGCTCTCGGCAGGAAGTTAATAACCTTTTTGGCCTGAGTTTCGAATTCAGCTTCAGGTTGCACTTATGTAGCTTTGATCTTCTTGAAATTGAGCGGGACATTAAACTTTTGTATCTGTTGCGATAGCATTTTACTAGAGATCTTAAAGTATAAACACGAATTGTTAGTTAACTTACTTTTGGAACGCCAGATGGGCTTTAATACTTTGATCTCGATCATGAAGACAACCGCGGCAATTATGATTGCCGCCAGCGTGGCCTTAGGAATGAAGTAGAAGTACGGCGTAAGAAACATCAGTGCTACAATGACTAAGGTTCCCGAATAAACGTTGCTCAGTGGAGTGCGCACCCCGCTGGCATTGTTGACAGCTCCACGACTCAGGGCGCCGGTGCCCGGGAAGCCCTGCATGAAGGAGTTCAGTATATTGGCTGTGCCGATAGCTATGAGCTCCTGGGATGCGTCGATGGGCTGGCCAAAGGCTGACAATAATTGAAAATACTCAGCTAGTGAATCATTTGACTTAGGATTTCGTCGACGCACTCACCGAAAGCCTTTGCAATTGCAATACTCTCCATGAGGGAGATCAGGGGAATCACTATTAGCCCGGAGCCAATGCTGTGCACCATGTCGACGAAGCCCAGTGGATTGCCGTCTGCGGTCTCGTTGGCGCTTAGAGATGTGGGGGGCCACTGCACACTGGGCAGGCCCGGGGGTATCTCGCCTACGATGCGAAAGGGCGCTCCATGCTGGTCGCTGTGCAGCAGGTAGCCCATGATGCAGCAGACGACGACCAGGATCGCGTTGCGCGCCGTGCCCACAATCCAGAAGAGCTTGTTGGCAACGCGTTGACAGCGCGAGTGCGGCTCATCCGGTGCAGGTCCAATGCGGTATGAGGAGAGCATGCGCAACATCAGGAGAACCACAATGCACGTGATTCCTAGAATAGTATCCGTCGGTCGCGAGTCTTGTATGTTGGCGAACACCTGCCTCCAGACCTCCACAAAGGTATTGCCATTGGCCTTAATGCCCAGCACATTCTGAATTTGTGAGGATAGAATAATCAGCGAGACGGCTGAGGTGAAACCTGACGCCACCGGCCCAGAAACAAAGTCAATGAGAAAACCCAGCCCAAACAGGCCCATTAGCAGCTCAACAACTCCGCACATAAGGCAAAGCAACACGGACTTCTGCCAGGAGCCCTGCGCCACCTGATACGTCAGCAGCGCAACAATAGCTGAAGGACCCAGCGGCACGTCCTTACAACTGCCCAGGAATATATACACGAAGCATCCAGCGAAACTAGAGTACAGTCCATACTAAACGAATCAAAAGGTAAAAGTGGCAAACAAAACTTAAATCGGGACCATGTCTCTACTTACCGCCACAGGAAGACCTGCAATTCCCGCATAGGCTAGCGCCTGTGGAATGACTGTGAGTCCGACACTTATGCCGGCTACCAGATCACAAATGGCATCCTCGCTTCTATACGCCGGAAGCCAGCGCAGAATGGGCAGGCGCTTGTGCAGCGTCCTCTTATTGAATAGGCGCCTTTTGCAGTTCTCGAAACAGCCTCGCGACCTGTCCAGAATACTTCGGCTCGCAGCTGGGGGCACCTTTCGGCCATCTTCTGTCACTGGAACGAAGAATGCGACCTTGAATTAAAAGCTAATAAGTAAGCAGTACCTACATATATATCTATATATAAATAGATATTCTACAATAATAAACCGTAATGTGACGTTCACTATAATTCATAATGGCACGTACTAAGCATTCGCTATGTTAGTGAGTTGATTTACGTTCTGTTATTATTGTACAGCAATTACTATTGTTTTTTGTTCATAGTATTTTTTTATTTTTTATTTAACATGCACACGTTTCATTGTCAAGGGTAAATTGGGTGTATCTTATGAGAACATCAATAATTATTTTCCCTCTATGGCGGAAGCCTATCTTGCTTGAGCTCTTATTTCCAGCTGTGCAAAAATATATAAAATATTTTTAAAGGGAATGAGAGCTATTAGGTCGCAATGCTAAAGCTTCAACTCGTTAATTAATAATAAAACAAAACTCTGCTTATATAAAGGTTTAGTTAATGTCAAAACGGTAATTAAACAAACGTCAATTAAGACTGAACGAATCACATAAATTAATATAAACCTCCTTACACACCCTTCCACACTAAGCCTCATTTTACTCGTCACGCATAATCTTAAAGCTTATTTTAGAGCCAAATCATATAGATATCTCTTTCTTAAATTCTATATCTATATCTCTATATCTCTCCTAATATGCATTCTCTACATTTCTGTTGTCAGTAATATTCTATTATTGGTTATTATTGTATTAAAATTAACTTACGTACAAGCTCCTTGGACTCCTGAAATGATGCTCCCAAACTGCAGTCGCTGGTACTTTGCTCTGGAAGGTTTAAGTTGATGGATATGGTGGAGGACTTGAAGGCGTCATTTAGGTATACGTGATTCATAGCTGGGTTAAACTTCATTTTAAAATCAATCAACAGAATTCTACAAAAATTTGCATGGAAATTGTTATATATATTAAATGTATTAATAATTATTTTCAATCTCATTTTAATCAAAATGATCAAATTATTCTATAATTTTGATCAATTCATCATTTTGTATTTTTTTTATAATTGACACATTAACTCTAGACTGATAATTAAATATGATCTGTTTATGAATTCTGTATCGTGTATAGATTAACAAATAATAATAATATTTGAATGGAAATTGTTAGATATATTAAATGTATTAATAATTATTTTCAATCCTATTTTAATTACAGTGATTAAATTATTCTATAATTTTGATCAATTCATCATTTTGTATGTTTTTAATAATTGATACATTAACTGTGGACTGATAATTAAATATGATCTGTTTATGAATTCTGTATCGTGTGTAGATTAACAAATATTAAATATGGTTTCTTCGCCCTACCAGACTTATGGCATGCTTATTCTATTGTTTAACATTTTTGTTTGAAGCAAGTTGTTAGAAGCAAGTTATGTAATTATTTCTATTCTAAAGTAAATCCACATTTGACGTATAAGAAATGATATTTTAAATATTTAAAATCTAAACACACTTAAAGCTTGTCATTTATATATTCATTTTTATAGTTTCCGCATGCGATTGGGTATAGACCTATAGACGTGGCTACATCGACTCAATCTGAATATGAATTTATATGAGCTATAGGGTCGTTGTCGATTATGGGTTTAAGGAAGTGGCCCTTAATTTATGCGGGTAATGTAGGTTGGAGTGATTGTACTTAAGCATGAAACGAGATACGACAAGAACTCGTATTGTTCTTCTTCTTTTCTTTTTTGCTTAACACAAAAAGTAAAACAAATAATGTGCGTAAAAATACATTTTTTGTTAGCTTTTTTAATATTTGGGGTACTTTACTCGAATGGCACGGTGTTAAATATGAACTTTATATACTTAACTTAGTTTTTTGCTTTACTGTGATTTTCCATTTAACATATGATCTCATGACCGAAAAATGCGAGGCCCTTTTGTGCATAGACGTCAATTATTTCGCCAACTTACCCAGATTTTTAGTTGAGTTCAAAATAATTAGGCCTCTATTGAAAACAAATGCTTTGTATTGCTCGCACCGGCAACTTGACTTATAACATTTTTGTTTGTATACTCGTTTATTGAAAGGAAAAAAACCGTATTTGAAAAAGGTTTATTGTCAATTTAATTGCACATAATTGCGTATATTTGGCTTTGGTGATCGCTTCATTTGCATGCAAGTCAGATTTAGTGGCCAAAACTTTTACCGATCCACAAGTTTTGTAATGCCATTTGCATCATATACACTTTGGGATTCACATCATTTCAAATATATCAAATATATATATATTAAAACAAAAATCAAACTTAGTTTTTAACAGACAACATCACAGCTTATTCGAGCAGCCTAAGACCACGAATTGAAGCGTTAAATATGAGACTGGGCCAGCGTAGGCAATTGTTTGCTTGCAACCAATAAAGCTTCGGAGCTTTTATTGAATGCCAACAATGCCAACTGAGAGCTTTTGGGTTTGGGGAAATGCCATTGAACATAAAGTCGTACTATACTCACTTGCGGAATTGGAAGTGCGTATGCTTTTTCTCTCGCACTCGAAAGCTTAGAAGGTGAGAGAGCGTGCGAAAGCGAATGTTGTTGACATTGTGACTAAGCAAATTTTTTTTAAATATGCTTGCCTCAAAGTACAAATTCATTTCATTTATAAATATGCATTATTTATTATCTTGTGAATTGGTTAAAACGACCTAAGTGAACCAGTTGTTCAAGAACTTTTGGCACTTGCATCTCAACTGCCCGGCTAGCTCAGTCGGTAGAGCATGAGACTCTTAATCTCAGGGTCGTGGGTTCGAGCCCCACGTTGGGCGAGATCAATTTTTTTTATTTTTAGAATTTTATTATACATATGTATTTAAAACAACATATATTTTTATTAAAAAGAAAATAATGTAGGATTTTTTAATATGTTAATGAAACGCTCTGATTATTTTTAAAACTTTTATTTAATAAAATTTTACTGCTACGGAAATAACGTTTTCAATTGGTAAGGTTCTTAACGGTAACGTACAAAATTCACTTGAATGCAACTATTTCATAATTAAAGCAAAAAGTCAAGATTGAAAATCATTTTGGTTTCAGGTGTGGGCTACATATTAAAACTTTTCCATGTGCATACATTTATACGTCATTCACATCGGGATTGCTTCCATAGTAAATTGTGAGATGTCTTAGCCAGAATTACAGGACATATTTGAATTAAATTGAATTTAAGATATGTATGTATATATGCTATTATTTCATTGACATGTGCTAATGCTTGCTACATATTAAATTGAATTAAATTGCATTTTAGGCAACATTTGTTATTGATATATCAAGTACAGACTAGTGTTCGGTTATGGAATCTATAAAAACCACTTTTAGATAATATTATATAATTTAATATATAAATATAAATTTATATTAATATGTATAACGCGACTTGTGTGAGAAGCGAATAAAATTGACGGTGGTACTTATGAAACTTATATAATATAACGACATTCGACTAATGAAGGCCATACTGTGGAGAACATCTATTTTTCTAGCCAATTGAGTAGATTACTGCAGTTTAGAGAGATCATTTGATTGGAGCATTGAGATTTTCAAACTATGGTTTTTGATTCATTGAGGCACATTTGATGGATATTAACGTAAATATTGCACTGGGTTCGGATTTCCTTTGCCTTGCGGTCTGAGGAGCCTTCTAGAAATGCTTCCTCATGCTCATGTGAGCGGAGAAGAGAAACGGCGCCAGCAGAGTGCAGATCGATATCAAAAGACTTACAGCATATTGTTGGTTTGCTAAAATGTGAGTTCAAAAAAACGTAAAAAATATTAACTTTATCATTTGAAGCCCATTAGCGGTTGGTCTCACCTCCACTGCAAATGTCGTGCAAAATGTCCTCCACGTAGCCGTTGTCGTTGTCGCAGAGACACAGCTTGGTTTTACTCGACATGAACTTGGATACCCCGATGGTGCGATTGGTGTTCTCGAATTGACAAACCATGCCATCCTCACACTCATGATTGCTGTGGCATCGATGTCGGAGACCTGCAAAGTTGAGTAATTGCCGTGAGCTATTTTATCTTTATAAACTATTGTTAGAGACTCTTAGACATTCGAAACCTTCATTAGACAGAAATTTAAAAACATCTTCACATCTGTTTCTGTTTATTGCGAAAACTCGCATCCCTCCTTATCAGCATATTATCCGTCTACAACTGTTACTTTGATGTCGCGTATGGCTAAATATCAATGTGAAATTATAGTTTAAGTATCCCGCATATAAAGATACCAGCTAGGCCGCTGCTGGGATTGAATCCTAATCTCTAGTCATTTATGAATATAAACAATAATATAAAACTTGCTAAAAGATTTCTAGATTTCATTCGAGACTAAATACAAAACTTTATCGAACTTAATTTTAGTATATTTCATGGGAATGAAATAAATTAAAGTAGTAATTATATCATGTAACTATGACAAACAAAGATAACTGAATATTCATTATTCATATAAAACATCTTCAAATAAATACTAACTATTAAATATTTCAACGTGGTTATATAAAGCTGGATAGTTTTGGGATGACTCTTTTAGGTAAGCATGTATTCATCTATTTAATATCTGGGTATATTTTCAAAAATAATTGTAAATTGTAATAGTAATTGCATTGTACACTTATAAATCTAAATTATGATTTTTCCGTTTATATCCATTATAATGTTTTACCGAAATAAATATACGACTCTCTTCTTCTTATTCTATGTTATAAAGTCACCTAGTCGATATTTATAAATGATATATACATAGCAGGATTCTAGTCACGAGTCCAGCATTTGAGAACATTTGATGTTTGTAGGCATGCGAACAGTATGAGAATGCTATAATTTAGCCACAGCCATGGCGAGCCTGAAATATCCTGTTTCGGATTATAAACATGTACACATGTAGATGTAATATGTATGCAGAGTATTTTCTGAGCAGTGCATGTCACAAATTGGCACTGCAGCGATTTTATACCTTGGCTCTGCTGTAACAAGTCACGACATTCTTAAATAAATTTGGCGTTACACTACCATAAAGAGAATCGCGTCTGGAGTCGCATTCAACATCGCAAGAGGAAATGCTACAAGGGCTGCAGCAGGCAAATGGCAAGAGCAGACAATAAATATATTCTTGTCTACTATTTATCTATCATTAGGGCCTATAGTTAGGTCATCGGAATCCATAATTCTTGATTTCTAGATTCTAGCTGAATCATGAATATGAATGTGAAACAAGTTTTGTTTACTCGAAATATGAGTAAAAGTACAACCATTCCTTAAACAGATTCAACAATATCTACTACTAACTAATACTACTACTACTACTACTACTACTTCTACTACAACTACATCGAATACTACTGCTACTACTACTTCTACTACAACTACATCGAATACTATTGCTACTACTACTTCTACTACTACTGCTACTACGAAGTAGTACTACTGCTTCTACTACTTCTACTACTAATACAATTAGGGATCAAATATAATCTGTACTATTATTCTTATATATAAAGCTACATATATGCAGATCTATTTTTCAGAAGTTTTTTTTATGTGGTAAAGGCTATTTCTTACTAAGTCATTTGTTTCCTTTTCCTTTCTTTTATATTTCCTGATCTATCCTAGATTGTAGCTTCTAGTATGTAAATTAGTTAAAATTTCTGTTTAGATTAAATTTCCAAAAAAGGTATCGGTATGTTAACCTGTAAATAAATAAATTTTATAAATTCAACAAAAAAAATATATATATATTTACTTAACGATCTCTCTGTCCCTCTCTCTCTCTCTCTCTCTCTCTCTTTTGATTCGTCTCCCTATACTTTTTCCTAACGTCGGCTCTTCCACGATATTTATGTATCTATGTATATATCTCTATCAAACTGTCTCTCACTCTCTCTCTCTATCTCTCTTTTTTCTTTCTCATTGTCATTCTCGCTCTCCTTTTGAAAATCCAGATAGTGTATAAAACCCATCCGTAAGACATTTGTGAAATGGAATATGAAATCGTGGCAAGTTAACAGGCCCCTCGTGTTAGTTTTCAAGAATGATGTACATAGTACATATATGATGGTGCTTTGTTTAATTCTCATTTACAGCCCCTTGACACTTGAGTCGCTGGCAAACAAAGCAGATAGCTTCCAAGCAGCTGACCCTTTAAATAATGAATGTGATGTGCACACCTCCCAATTAGGTACGTACTAGCTACAGCATTCTATTTCGAGGCGCCCTTTTTCACGCGCCGCCCCAGCCCGCCGCCCCGCTTGCCCCTTTGAGTCGCTCGCCCCGCAGCCTACCTTTGAGCACATCTAGGCAGACTCCAGACGAGGGCGGCGTGTCATCACCGCACAGGCAACGCATCTTGAAGTCGCTGGGATCCTTCACGCAGCTGGTTCGTTCTGTTGTCGAGCAGTCATCGTTGGTGTTACATTCGCGACCTTTGACTGTAGAGCAAACAAAGAAATTAGCAGCAAATTAATTAATACAACGAGCACACAAATATTCTAACTATTAATTCTAATTGGTCGAAATATGTCCGATAGTCGCTTTTGGTCTCTCCCCCGCCCCGATGCCGCCTGCTCCAATGACAATATGAACGGTTTGCTTTGCTATTAGCGCTGTTGTCATTGCACTTGACTGACTTGTTTGATCAATTTCTGATTTATGCTGGGCCCTAAGGCTGGCTGAACGATGGTTTAGTTATTGTACTTAGCTATGAGACATGCCAGACACATGGCATGTCATTAGCCGCCTCCATTTTCCGCCGTACACGGAGCATGAGTCATTTGGGGACTTGAAGTCGGAGTAACGCTTATTAGGGAACTACGATTACCATTTAGTATTATTGGCAATAGTGAGATTAGATATCAGATTTGATTTTTGTACCGGAGAACGCTAATTAAGTAGTTGAACGAAAACTGTTCTTGTAATCAAATTTCTATAGCGCTTATGAAAAAGCAGTTCGAATAGCTTGAAGGATAATATTGTCCACGGAAACTGTTCTGTGGTATCCGCCAATTAAAATATATTTCTTTTTTATCATTGTCTATTCACAGATTCAGTTTCACCATTTAGGCTGTTTTTATTTGTATTTATTGCTTGTTATTAAAATAAAAAATTCTTATTTCCTACGCACTCAAAAGGATTTTACTTAGATATATAAAATCTATTGAAATTATATGGAAAACAAATTAAAATCGAATTAAGGATAGAGGAGCAAAACTAAATACATTTGAGGCGTTATTGCAGATCTTTAAAAAAACCGACTTAAAAACTTACAAAAATTTATAAATTCTAGTAAATTTATTCTTTAAGACTTCTGTGAAAACAATAAACCCAAAGTTATTTGGATGAGGTCAAAATTTCTTAATAAGTCAGAAAGCTAATAAAAATAGCTAAAAAGCCAAATTGTCGGATTCATAGCAAATTCCTCGAATGTATTTTATTTAACTATTCATATAAAACATTATAATTATAATTATAACTTTGATTGTAAAATAGTCAAAGGATTGTTTTGTCAACTTTAGTGATTCATAGTAAGTCATTTATAATAATATAATATAATATAATACCTCAAGCAAAGGTGCTACAACAAACACTTGAAACGTTTTACATGCATTACAAATAAAATAAATTTAAAGGGAGCCTCACCATTTTTCTGTTTTTATTTTTTTCTTTTTTTGGTTGGCTCACCTTCGATTCTTTCTAGTACTTACTTATGGGGCCTTGTGTGGGTGGCGGTTGGTTGTTGGTCTTGCCGAAGGTAGTCAAAGCCGTGGAGCTCACGCCAAAGAGTATAATGAAGACTCCGAAGAGCATAGTCAGGCTGCCGCACTGTGTGAAGCGCTTCAAGGGCTGCATCCTAGCGCACTTTCAACAAATTACGAGTTCTAAGGCGCCAAGAGACGAAATGCAATAAAAACAAATTTAGAGCTTGACGCGTGTTTATTGCGTTAGATCACTCTCACTATAATATATTTTGCTCTTTTTTTTGTCTCTTCGCACGCAAAACTATATAAATTATATTCCGTGTTCAGATTAAAGTTCTCACAGTTTTGTATTCAAAACTCTTCAATATATTTTGGTGTTATTTAGTTTTTGGGTCTATTATCGGGCTTGGCTGAGCCAACGAAATAACGAACCAGTCGCCTGCGCGTTCCAAATTCAAGTGATGAATTTCCTGGGGTACATGTAGCTTAAGTTTTCTACGGCTCGACGGCTCGACGGCCCGACGGCGCGACTGTTACTTACTTCTCGCTCACGCCAGTCCACAGGCCTACCCCCAACCCATCCGCTCCTCTCAGCAGGACCGCCGAAATTTGGCAGGTCTGAGAGCGAAGCTTGTATACTCTCACAGAGCGTGTTGAAGAATTCATAGAAATATATATGTATAAACACATAGGACTTTGTTTATTATATTTATATTTAATATTACAGAGACTGTGCCTCTACTATATGCGTTTGTAAATATGTATATATTTGTATATATATTTTGAAAACTAAAATGAATATAGAAATTGAAATATTTTGTATAAAATTATAGTTAGGTGTTAAGAAAGAAAAATAAACAAAGAAAGCACAATATTATTTTTAATTTTTCAAAAAGAAATTTATTATAATAGGTAGCAATTACTAAACAAGGAAAATACAAAATTATTC